AAGCACTGAATGTTCCCTTCGTGCATGCGCTGTTCGAGTAATAATACTAACGGAGACACAGGTGTGAGACGGATGACCAATCAGAGGCTATATAGCCCGATGTCATCCGCAGCTCTGCTCCTTTTTTCTTCTCGCGCGTGGTTCAATTCAATTTCAAGACCTTTTCTGAACTTTTTACCGTCGTCGGAAGCCCGACTGCCCGTCTGCGGGAGTAGCGTGTTCGCCCTCCTAGGGCTGTGATGGTTTAACCCTGTTCAAAGGTATTTTCTGCTGATTCGTTGGGGACTACGGCAGTTTCCGCCTCTCCCAACTTACAGCGTCTGACTACTATGTGTGTGATTCAACACCGGTGAGTAGTGTTTTTCCTTATATTTTGCCGTTGGTTAGCGGTAACGTTCGCTCCGCTCCTGCTTGTTGGGAGACCTCCAACCGCGTGGTCGGCTGGACTGTGCTCCGACGTTGTTTATGACTACTATGTGTGTGATTTAACACTGGTAAGTAGTGTTTTTTTGCTTATATTTTGCTATTTGGTTAGCGGTAGCGTTCGCTGTGCTCCTGTTTACTGGAGGCCTCCAACCGCGGGGTCGGTTGGACTGTGCTCCGAAGTTTGCTTATTACGTAGCCAGCTGAGTTTCTGGCCTTGTTTTAATTGGTGAAGGCGAGCGTTCGCGCCCCCTCTCCCAATTGTCCTCTTACCAGCTGCGCTAGCCTCTCTGAGTTTTGGCCTTGTTTTGATTGGTGAAGGCGAGCGTTTGCGCCTCCTCTCCCAATTGTCCTCGTTACCAGCTGAGCTAGCGGTGAAAACTTTTCTGAGTTTCTTGCTGCAATTTTTCATCCTATATCTTGGACATAGCTGGGTAAGGAGCATGGACGGCTCTCACTGCTGTACAGTCTGTGGAGCCATGCTCCAGACAGATGACGGTCACGACCTGTGTCCTGCCTGCCTTGGACATGATCATCTGGTGGAGGCACTGTCAGAAAACCCCTGCATGAATTGCAGCTTCATGTCGCATGCTGTGAGGGTGGCCCGGCTGGCCCAGTTTCGCCCCAAACTCGGCAATGACCTCCCGCCTTTTGGGCAGGAGGCTCCACCTAGGCGCTCGAAGCGCCAGACTGAAGCCGCAGTCTCTGTGGCCCCTCCTGGGAAGAAGTGAGCCAGGTCTGATAGGGGCCTCTCCACAAGGGTGGAGCAGCTCTCAGCTGAATTAGCGAAGATGAAGTCCCTTTTTCAGGTACGCCAACTGGGAACTGAACCAGTGGCAGCGACTGGACTCTCCTCCCCACCCATGCCTGAACTGGCTGCGGAGGAAGATGTGCTATCCTTGGCTGCCTCTGCCTCTCACTTTTTAGGTGAGGAGGACAGGCATTCATCTCAAGTCTCAGAGACAGCTTCACATTCTTCTTCTTCGGAGCGCAGTTATTGGGTCGGGTGACGGCTCGATGCAAGACGTCATGCGTATGGCCCTGAGACAACTGCAGCTGGACGTCCCGCAACCAGAGGGGTCCACCCCTGGAAGTGCCTTCTTCAGGCGCAGACGTACCCCTCCTTCCTTTTCTGTCCCTCCATCAGAGGAGTTCCTGAGAGAGTTGCATGGTTGCTGGAAGGACCCCAAAGCCTTTGCGTGCCTCTCCGCAGATGGCCGAGTGTTGGCGGCCATGCATGAGCCGGCTACAGCAGGCTTGGA